CCTTGGAAGCCGCATTTAGGCTTGGCGGTTGGATTTCATTCGTCTGGGTCCCAGCTGGTCACTCGAATGTTGTCACTGCCAGGTAAGCTTCCGCAAGTTTCCCGACCTAAGGCCCAAGCAACGCCTGGGTCCAAAGCATCTCAGGCCAAGGAGGTCACTAAGGACAAGCAGGCTCTGCTGCGTCAGCGTAGGAGTGATGTATACAAAGATATGTTCGGGAACTACCAGGAACCTGTTCCATCAGATGAGCCCCCCGAGAGCTCCCCTGTCGGTTTCTGGTCCTTCCTGGGAGCTCCTGGCGGCGAGGGCGAAGATGACCTCGAGGCGTGGCCGGAGGGCGAATGGCCGATGCAAGAACGTCTGACTCCCTCTCCGTGCGTTTGCCCCCCCCCCCCCCCCCCGCAGCAACGACGAGCCCCTGGGAGAGCCCCCGAGCCCGAGCTTTCAAGTACCAGAGTCTCTTTGGAATGAAATCCGTGCTCGTGTTGGTCTCGCCCCCAGCTCCGCATGCAAAAGGCATGACCACATCACATCGTCTGTCTGTTATCATGCTGGCTCGAGCAATGTTTCAGCCCTCGCGGGCCTCTGCGCCTCCTGGGTCACCGCCGTGGAAGCCGCGATCAGTGCCCGCCGCACTTGTGATATTCCGGCCAGCCCCAGTCGTGCGCAGGGCCACGAGTTCCGCGTCGGCGAAGTCCATCAGGCTGAGCACTCGCGCCTCCAGCCCTTCTAGGACGTGGTCGCGAACTCGTGGACTCGTCTCGCCACCGCGGTGGCCTCCGTCAGCAGACGTCGAGCCAGAACGAACGCCAGCACGCAGCAGCAGGCGCTCAGCGAGGCAATGGCTAAGCTCCTAGGCGACATCCCCGACAAGGCAGAGCAGGTGCTTCGTCATCAGGAGCCAGGCTTTCAGACCCTCGCCAGAGCGCTTAGAACGTTCTCATATGATCCCGAACGTGATCTCAGCAAGATCGAAGCTTCGACTTGCAAGGTCAGCAAACGTGCACAAGGCAAGGCAAGCAAGGCTTCTCTCAATCGTTTCAAGGAATGGGTGGATAGCTCAGAGGCGTTGGGAGCACTTCACCGTAATATTCGCGACGAGTCCTTAGTCCAGCAGGATCTCTTTGTTCAAGATAGAGTGCTTCACAACCCCAGTGATATCATGGATCATGAACATCAGCATTGGGAAAGGACATGGTGCCCAGAAATCAAGAATATGCAGAAGCTGGACAGGGCTTTCATGGATGTTCGGCTTGCGGCGGATGACGAGCCCTTGGCAGATTTGAGCCCGGAGAACGTTCGAGCAGCCACGAGAAAGATGAGACGCAAGCCGGGTCAGGGGGTCGACCACCTTTCACCGCTGAGTTGTGAAAGGCTCCCTGACCCAGCGATCCAGGAACTCATCGCGATCTTCGAGTCCATGGAGTCGGTGCTAGCGTGGCCAGCTCAAGCACAACTCGTCATCGGCCACATAATGCCGAAGCACAAGGGCACAGGAGATCGGGTTATAGGCATCCTCGCCATTTTCGCGCGCCTCTGGTCGATGCGCCGCGAACCCGAGGGTGCAGAATGGGCTGACCAAAATGCACCGGCCTGGGATGCAGCGATCTCAGGCAACGCCGCGCTCCGTGAAGCTTTCGTCAGAGTGCCAGATGAAGAACTAGCGCATCATCTGTCGGTTTCTATTGGCAGCGGCCTCTTGGATATCAAGGAGTTTTACGATGCGGTGTCGTGGAGCCTCCTCGTTGACGGTGCGCTCAGGGTTGGCTTCTCCCCGACGATCTTGGCGTTGGAGATGAAGCAGTTTGCGGCACCGCGCGCGCTGAGACAGGCAGGTGCCTATGCAGCTCCTATGTGCCCAACGCAGAGTATCGTTCAGGACTTGAGGTCAGGAACGCGTTTCGCGCGCACGATGTTTTTGTTCCTTCTTCGTACCATTACAACGATGCACCCCGACTTCTCGCATCGCATCTGGATCGACGACTTGTCCCAATCCATCAAGTTGTCGCGACGGAAGATTCGACAGCAGTTAGTACGGGTTCTGACTGACACGTGCAAGGGTCTAAGCAAGCAGAGGTTGCAGATTGCAGTGAAGTCGGCGGTTTTATGTACACGCATGGCAGACGCTAGGCATGTAGCTAAGCAGGTGAAAAGGGTTGGTTTTACCATCGAGGCGCAGGCGCAGGTGTCCTACCACGGTGCAGATCTCGGTGGAGACCGAAGGCTGGCTCGTGCAGCGCGTCGTCGTCTCGAGAAGTCTGCCATGATGAGTGCCGAGATAGCCCGACATGCAGCGGCATCTACAAAGTATAAGGTAACATCTCGAGTTGAGCGCCAACGATCTTTTGCAGAAGGGTCCTACGCGCACCAACTTCACGGAGCTTTCGGATATGTTGTCAAAGCCTTCCGCCGACGCCAAGGATATGCGTGTGCTGCCCCCTCGGCTGGTAGGTGTCTCACGACGCTGTTAGCCCTCCAAGGCGAGAAAGGCGACCCAGGAGTTTCGATGGCGACCGATTGCTTGAAGTTGTGGTTTCGCATGTGGGCCCACGAGGGCTCAGATTTCAGGAATGCAGTTCGCCTGGTGTGGCCCAAAGCAGTTGCCAAGTCCCAGGACATGGACATCCAGAATCGCCCCCGCCACATCAGGGGGCCCCTGGGTGCGGTCGTCTGTTGCCTTCTGGAGACGGGCTGGACGCCAACCACCGCCGAGCCATGGTCCGTCCCCAAGCAACAGACGGCGAGGTTGTCGACTGGACTTTCCCACCAGAGATATTCGTCGACGGCAAAGGTGTTGACTTGTTCAGGGATCTGGTCAGAGAGTTCAAGGAAGATCGAGAAAAATGGTTGTGGGCCTCCGCCAGCAAGCACTATTGCGGCTCAGGCTCTAAGAATGGAATGGATATGCGATCGTACGTACGTCTACTTCGTCAGATGGGAGACGCGCCTCAGGGATATCGACTCGCAGAGATGATGACGGCGATCGCCACCGGGGCCATGTGGTATAGATCGCGGTGAATCGCCGCCAAGCCAGGATGTGCATCAGCTCAGTGCCCTCGATGCGAAAAAGCAGTGGAGACCCTCTTCCATAGAGTATGGGGTTGTGAGTGCAACGAGGGCGACATCGCATACGACAAGACATTGGATCTCATCCCTGAAGCGTGCTCCCAGCACCAGGCCACGGAGTGCTTCTGGCTCAGAGGTTTGGTGCCAAAGGATTGGTCAGCTGTTCCTCCGCCAACATTGGTTGAGGACTGGCACGCTGCAGGAGAATGGAGTGAGTTTCAGCCAGGAGCTGCAAGCTGCGGCACCATGGAGTCGCCCCTCCACTTCTTCGGCGACGCCCGCGGAGGTAAAGATTCTTCAGACCCCCACCTTCGCAGAGTTGGAGTCGGATTGCTTCTTGCTGGAGATCCAGCAGTCCCCGACGGCTTCCAGATGCGAGCGACGCTCGAAGGGCCTCTGCCGGGACACCGCCGAGTGGTGGGCAGGGGTGAGCTCACAGCACTTCTACTACCCCTGAAGTTGTGCACTGGGCTCCTGGTGTTTGTTTCGGGTAAGTTTGCCGTCGTGAACGGTTGGCACCAGGACGAGTTTCGAGATCCGACGGGCCCAGAGGCGGACATATGGGCCCAGATCGGACTGAGGTGGAAAACCGTGAACGCTCCCGGATAGTAGTGCTTTTCGTGAACTCTCATCTTGACGGTGAGGCCGTCTTTCGTCGAAGATATCCAGAATGGTTGTCGCTAGGTAATCACGCTGCTGACGCAGTTGCCGAAGGCGCTGCGGAGAGAGTGCGCCTAGATGAGCAGACCCGGCATCGTGTAAAGCTAGTTGGGCATAAAGCGTTCCTCGCGAGGCACCGTCTTCTGAGAGCAAATCTAGACGCGACAGATAAGGAGCGACAGCTCGGCCTCTTGGGCCGAAAGTCCGAAAGTAGTAGCCTTCCCCCAAGGTCTCCAGGGCCCCTCCAGTGCTCTGTGTTTAGCTCTGCGCACACTATATGCGAAGACGGGAAGAGTTGCACTGTGTGTCGAGGTTCGGCTACCCAAGCCACCTTAACATGATGGAGAAATAGCCCGTGCTTTGACATACAGTCTCTCGGAGGTGCTCATTTTTCGCTCCCCAGGGGTACTCGTCAGCATCTACTGGGGGGTGGGTCCATGAAAGCCACAATCTACAGTACCATTCGGGGCCCACCTTATGGTTCTGTACTTTTTGCGTTTTTTGCTTGCACAGCGAAAGTTTAGCAATCATCTCAAGAGGTTGTGTCTGGGAAGGCCTACTCCCACGCGTCCGGAGCACCGCAATTGAATGGCGTCTGGGCAGTGGCCCAAGCTTTAGTAGAGCGGAGAAGGTGAAGAAGGGGGAGGGGTCTATATCGGCGGTAGACAAACCTCCCTGTAGTAGACCTCCCCGAAGTGAAAACGGCCTGGGACCGAAACCGACGGACCTGGACCCGCAAAAATAGCGGCCGGGACGCCCCCTCGCGCACCGAAAACTGCCAATTCCTCAATCGACGTGTCAGGGTAGGAGGTCTGTCCACCCCCGACTATAGAGGGTCGGTCGGTCTGGACGGAGCGACGGGCGCGCGTGCACGCGCGCGCGCGCGCCCCCCCGTTCCACAAGTGCAGGGGGGGGCCGCCGCCCGCCCGCCCCCTCTGCCTCTCCCTGCTTTGCTGCCGCCGCTGCCGTTGTCGACTCATCACTGAGTGATCGACTCATCTCATCTCCTCCCTCCCTCCCTATCTCCCTCCCTCCCTCCCTTCTCCTCCGCCTCCTCCTCCTCCTCCTCCTCCTCCTCCTCCTCCTCCTCCTCCTCCCTCCTCCTACCTCCTACCTCCTCCTCCTCCTCTCCTCCTCCTCCTCCTCCTCCTCCTTCTCCTCCTCCTCGTCGTCTCTCTTCTCTCCTTCTTCTTCTTCTTCTTCTCCTCCTCCTCCTCCTCCTCCTCTTCCTCCTCCCTCCTCCTCCTCTCCGCCCCCAGCTCGCAGCCGCTGTCCTCGAGCCTCGCGTTCTGCAGCTGGAGGTGGCGGCACTCCTCCCGGGTCCCCAGAGAAGTCCCTGAGGAGGAGGAGGAGGGAGGAGAGGAGGGGGAGGAGGAGGGAGGAGGAGGAGGAGGAGGAGGAGGAGGAGGAGGAGGAGGAGGAGGAGGAGGAGGAGGCGGAGGAGGAGGAGGAGGAGGCGGAGGAGGGCGCTGCCATTTTTCAAACGGGGCGCTCTCGCCCGGCTTCGGGCCCTGGGACCCTCACAGACCGATCCGGCCGTGAACGTGCCACAGCAAGATGGGGTCTATAGGGCTCCAGTCGTGATTTGGGGCGACGTTGCGTTTTTCTTGACGTTGGATCTCAAACAAAAACGATTGCAAAAAAAAACAAAAAAAAAAAACGAAAAACAAAACAAAACAAACAAAACACCAAAAAAAACACACAGCAAGATGGGGTCTAGGGCTCCAGCCGTGATTTTGGTCGACGCTGCGTTTTTCTTGACGTTGGATCCCAGGAGAATAGTCCAAGGCGGCCTCAACACCCCAAGGGCCCCGCCAGAGGTGTCGCCGAGGTGTCGAGACCGCCCCAGGTGACTCGGGCGGGGGGCCTGATGGGGCCAGCCGGGTCTGCCTGGGGGCGGCTGCCTGTGCGCAACCCTAAGTCTTACGGCAGATTCGTGTCGTGACGACTTCGGCGCTGGCTTCCGACACCGCACGGACAGTTCGACCTGGAGCGACCGCGGCTCTCCGATGGCGCGGATCGTTCCACATCGGTTGATTCCGGGACGCTGGCGGCGTTCAACCTTGAACGCCCGCGCTGGGTTTATGTCGGGCGCGTCCCCCTACAAGGGGATTCTCGACGAAAAAAATAAAACATACCCCACACGTACCCCAAAAAGGTCCCCAAATAGTCAAAAATAGTCCCCAGACGATTTTTGGGGACAGGCCCGACATAACGCCGGGTCGCCGCCGCGTCGACACGACGCGGATCTGCCGTACCAGTCGGGTCCTCGCCCACTCCTGGACTCTCAACCCTCCCCGGCGGTCTTCGGGCCATGCCTCTCGGACCTCCGGCAGCCCCTCGGAGCGCTCTCGGCGAGGCGCAGCTGCTGGAGCGCATCCCGAGGCTGGAAAGCCGCCGAGAACCCACGAACACGTCAGAAAAGCTGGAACCTCGAGAGCCTCCTCCTCCTCCTCCTCCTCCTCCTCCTCCTCCTCCTCCTCCTCAATTTTCCACCTGCTCCTCATCCTCCTCCTCCTCATCATCATCCTCATCCTCATGTTCCTCCCCCTCCTCCTCCTCCTCCTCCTCGAAACCGAAACCACGAAGGCCCTCGAGCCGTCCTCGTCGACCTCGCTGCGCACGTCCTCCAGCTGCCTGTTGCGGCAGCGCAGGCGCTCGCACTCCTCCAGCAGCCTCAGCTCGTGGCTCCGGGCCTCGCGGGCCTTCTCCGCCTGGAGCTCCAGCCGCCGCAGCTGCTGGCCATGGCTCTGGCTCGCCTCGCTCTGCAGCTCCTCCAGCTGCCAGTTCTGGTCGTGCAGCTGGCGGCACTCCTCGAGGCAGAGCACGTCTCCCCGCCCGAATCCTGCTGCCCTGCGCCGTCGGGAGACGTTCCTGCTGCTCCGGCTGTGTTGTGCATCGAGAAGCCGATGGGCTGTTCAGAGCAGCATTGGCATACGCTCTGGGAGCTACGCGCGGACTTCTCGGACCTGCGCCGCCACTGGCGCGCTCTGCGCGCCAGGGGCACGGGGGGGGGGGTGCGGCGCCGATCCGGGGATGTGCACGCGGGCTCCCGAACGTTTGTGCCCGTGCCGTTCTCTTTCTTGCCCCCGACCCAGACATGAAGGGGAGGCCAGTCCACTAGAAACCTTCCACAAGAAACCTGGCCCTGAGACCCCAGGACGTCCCTTGGCTTTTGGTGTGGGAACGCCACGCTCTCCATCGCAAAGCCATCGAGGCCCAACAAAACCCAGGGCACCCTGGGCTCCCCTACTGTACGACGACATGCGCTGATCACTGCGCGGGCCCACCACCGCTGACACCCTGGGGCGAATTCCGTCGCCGGTCCATTTCTGATGGTCGCGGGTCTGATGATGCGCAGTGGGGTGGCGATGAGCGGGGCGGAGGAGGAGGAGGAGGAGGAGGAGGAGGAGGAGGAGGAGGAGGAGGAGGAGGAGGAGAGGGGAGGAGGAGGAGGAGGGAGGAGGAGGAGGAGGAGGAGGAGGAGGAGGGGAGGAGGAGGAGGAGGAGGAGAGGAGGAGGAGGAGGAGGAGGAGGAGAGAGGCGGAGGAGGAGGAGGGAGGAGGAGGGGGGAGGAGGAGGAGGAGGAGGAGGATGAGGAGGAGGAGGAGGAGGAGGAGAGAGGAGGAGGAGGAGGAGGAGGAGGAGGAGGAGGAGGTCGACGCCACAACGGAGAGCACGAGGCGGGGGTTCGGCGCCTCGTTCCCAGGAGGCACGCGCGGGCCCCTCAAAGCTCGCGCACGGCGCCGCCTTTTTGCTGCCTCGGGGCTCCTCGCCCAGCTCCGCGACCTTCGCCTGGAGCGCGTGGCAGTCCCCGAGCATCCTCTGCGAGCTCTCCTCGAGGAGCCTCGCCTCGCTGCCCTGCGCCTCTTCTGGGGGGGGCGCCGACCTCTGTCCACCCGCGCGCGCGCCCGGCTGGCCCTGGGCCCAGGGCCTGTGCCTCCCGCGCCCCCCCCGCCCCAGGGCGCAGCCGGGGCAGCGCCCCGCAGGCCAAGACGCCGAGACGCGTCGAGTGGGGGACCGACTGCAGAATCGACTTGTCCCGGAATGGGCTCCCTCGTCGAATCCACAAGGAAGGCGCTGTGTTTTTTCCATGGATTGGGCGCACACGAAGTCTCAGGCCGATCCACGACTCGAGCGAGGAGCGTCTCGAGCTCGGACGGAGCCCGCTGTTCCCCAGGCCCTTCCATGGCTGCTCGCCCCGCGCTCCTCGCGCACCCAGGCGCTCTTGGGGCCAGAAGAAGGATTCCTTGAGATCCTGGGTTTAGGTCGGGCATGTCCCCCTACAGGCGGATTTGGGAGGAAAGATCCAAAAAGAGTCAAGCATGATTCGAACATATATTCAAACATAGCCAAAACATCGTCCCCAGACCATTGTTTGTCTATTTCTGGACTTTCTTCCTGTAGAGGGACAGGCCCGATTTAATCCTACGTCGCGAACCACACATGGCACACCGTCGGAAATCACGAGCGGAGAGCCCTGGACCCAGCATGTCTGCCGACTTTTCTGCGGGGCGCGGATGGGCCCGTGCTGGCCCCGAGTCCCCAAAAAACATGGCGAAAAAAGCCCAGCGCAAAACGATTGCAAGGCTTAGGTCGGGCATGTCCCCCATGCAAGCAAAATCATCAAAGCATGCTCAAACAATGCCCCACAATACTCAAAAAATCGTTCCAGACTATTGTTGGAGCATTTCTTGATTTTCCTCCTGTTGAGGGACAAGTCCGACTTAACGCAAGGCCTGGATCTCAAGGTTGGCTCTTCATTCAGCATTCCTTGCGGTGGCAACCCGGCTGTACCCAAGCCCCCCTGACGTCATGACTTTTCCCGCGTCGTGAAGCCGGAACTCTCGACCCCTTCCCCAATAACCATTTTTCATCCTGGGCTGCTTCTTGGACAGTCCCGGGACTCGGCGAGGACCCCCAGAAGCCGAAAACAGCCAGAACGTTCCGCCGTGCCTCTACAGTGGGGGCCCATGCCAAGAAACACCCTACACGCCTCCAGGGTGCCCGGGGTTTCTTGGGCCTCGACGGCTTTGCGATGGAAGGTGTGGCGTTCCCACACCAAAACTCGATGGACGCCCTGGGGTCTCAAGGGTTGGGTTTCTTGTGGGAGTTTCCATGTGGGCTGGCCTCCGCTGCATCACAGCGCGAGGGGTGTGTGCAGGTGCGCCGAGCCCGGCCCGAGGACCGGCCCTTTGCCAGGGCCGCGCGCAGGGTGCCCACAGTCCAGCGCCGGCTCCCCCTCGGCCCACTGACTGGCACTTTGGCCGGCGATGTCCCTCCTCCTCCTCCTCCTCCTCCTCCTCCTCCTCCTCCTCCTCCTCCTCCTCCTCCTCCTCCTCCTCCTCCTCCTCCTCCTCCTCCTCCTCCTCCTCCTCCTCCTCCTCTCCTCCTCCTCCTCCTCCTCCTGCTCCTCCCCCCCCTCCTCCTCCTCCCGAGGAGGGTGACCTGGCGAGCCCAACCCCTCCCGATGTGGGCAACGCTGCAATGCCAGAAAGAGGCCCCAAAGTGGCAACTTTCGGCAAGATCTCAAACCATCCGTTAGCAATAGAGGCATCCTAGACGGGGTCGGAGTAGATGGGGTCGGAGGATCGCGCCGCATCGCCGATACATCGGCGATGCATTGGCGATGCATCGGCGATGCATCGGCGATGCACCGGCGAGGCAACGTCGACATCAGCGACGCACCCGCGATGTCGGCGTAGGGAAAATCGGGCTCCGCATCGAACCGCATCGTCGATGCATCGGCGATGTGGCGCGATCCTCCGACCCCACCTGCTCCGACCCCGTCTAGGTTTAGGTCGGGCCTGTCCCCCTACAGGGAGATTGGAGATTCTGGACGACAAATAAAACATACCCCAGAAAGACTCAAAAGATGCCCAAACATATCAACAACAAAAAATCTCCTGACTATTTGTTTTTGGGTATTCTTGACTCTTGACTATCTTCCCCCTGTCGAGGGACAAGCCCGACTTAAGTCTGTAGGTGCCGTTGACCCCCCCTGCCTCCCGAGCCGCCCTCGACTGGGCGTCGAGCCGCTGGAGCGCCTGGTTCTGCCCCCGCACGCGCAGGCACTCCTCTGCGCCCGGTGCGGGGGCGGGCGGGGGGGGCTCTCCGGGGCACGGTGCGGCTGGGCAGCCTCCTCCTCCTCCTCCTCCTCCTCCTCCTCCTCCCTCCCCTCCTCCTCCCTTCCCCTCCTCCTCCTCCTCCTCCTCCTCCTCCTCCTCCTCCTCCTCCTCCTCCTCCTCCTCCTCCTCCTCCTCCTCCTCCCCCCCCTCCTCCTCCTCCTCCCTCATGCTCATGGTTCACGAGGCGGTGCGGTGGCAAGCCTGGGCGCCCTGGGCCGTGACTGGCGCACATCCGGTTCCAAGATTAGCCTGCTCGTGGGTGCGGTCGTCGCACTGATTGTTTGGTCGTCCCCTCCACAATCTTCCCCAGAGGCAGAACACAGCTTCCCCACACAACAATTACTTAATCGCTTCGCTCATTCCGCAGGCCCATATTGTCGCACCGTTGTGGGCTAGCCGAGTTTGGGGGCCTCTTGGGGGCCGTTTTGGGGCCTCTTGGGGCCTCTTTTGGGCCTCTTGGGCGCAGAACACAGCTTCCCCAGACAACAACTATTTGAGAAACCTGGGCCAACTTCACGGAAGCTGTTCAAAGCAAGCCTGGGCCAACTTACTTGCTCGTCCACGCCGGATGGGCGGACGCGCTCCGGAAACTGGGCAAGCTCTCCGGCAAGTTGGTTAGGAAGCGCCCAGCTTTTTGGCATGAGGCTACTTGACCAGATGCTCGACTGCATCTAAACATGGTTCCCCGCGCGTCTCCCTCAACGGTCATCCCAAATCATGGGTACTCCACAAGGCAAGGACGCCGACGACCGACGACGGACCCTGCCGCCCCAAAACGATGCGGTGACAGGCTAGAGGCCTCCTAGATGGGGTCGGAGTAGATGGGGTCGGAGGATAGCACCGCGTCGCCGATATATCGGGGATGCATAGATGATGCATCGGCGATGTATCGGCGATGCACCGGCGATGCAACGTCGACGTCGGCGGTGCATCTGCGACGTCGACGAGGAGCAAGTCGGGCTCCAGCTCGAGCCGCATCGCCGATGCATCGGCGATGCCGCGCGATCCTCCGACGCCCCTCCACTCGGACCCCGTCCAGGAGGCGTACGGTCAACCCGTATAGCAAGGATGCGGGATAAGGATGCCAGGGCCTTGGATGCCCATCTCGAGGCTTCCCGAGCGGGGCGCGGCCAACGGAAGTGGTCCAGGAGAGACCGAAGAGGCAGGGATGCGAGGGTGCCCTTGGGAAAAGGCCGCCCGCCCCTTACTCTGCGGGTGGACTGCAGACAGACCGCGCGGTGACCCCGAGATCCGCAGATTGGGCGCCCGAGTTATCCGGGGTAACTCGGGTCCGGGGTAACTCGGGCTTGGATTCCTGAAAAAGGAACCCGAGTTAGCCCTGACCCGAGTTACCCCTGATGATTCGGGGCTCTGGACGCCCGAACTATCCGGGGTAAGTCGGGTCCGGGGTAAGTCGGGTTCGGATTCCCGAAAAAAGAAACCCGAATTATCCCTGACCCGAGTTACCCCTGATGATTCGGGGCTCTGAGTAGAGGCCTCCCGGCACGGCCCCTCGCCGCAGGGTGCTGGCACCCCGGAGGCCCCCGCCGACCGCCGAAGCCCTCGGAGGGCGGCCCGAGCCCCCCCCCCCCCGGAGGCCGCGCCGCGCGGCCGCCCCGGAGTCCCCGCCGACTCGGCACGCCAGCCCTCCTCCGAAGCTGTAGCTCCCGCGGGGCCGTGCGGCACCGCCAACCCGCAGAGGAAGGATGCGCGCGATGGGGGCACAATCCCTAAGGGCCTGTCGACTTTTCGCCGATCGACTTGTGGGGAGCGAGCCAGAAAAATCCAGGTAGATGCAGATAAATCGAAGGTAAATGCAGATAAATCCAGGCAAATCGAAACAAATCTGGGTAAATCCAAAGATCTCCGAGGAAAGGTGAAGCAACTCGCGGCCGCTCCAGCGCGAGTCGAAGGACGGCAGAAGTCGTTAAGCCTTTAACGATACAAGGGCCCTGGACGCCCATGTCGAAACGGCTCGAGCGGGGCGCGGCCGGCGAAAGTGGCGAAGGATGGATCGACGGAGCGAGGATGCAAGGGCACCCTTGGGAGGGGTGCCCATCCTTACCCTGCGGGCCGACTGTGAACACGCTCCCCCTCCCCCCAGACTCCAAGTCGGCGCGCGCGGGGGGTGACTGCGGTCGAGGTGCAGCTCACCAGACCCACCGCCAACTCTGAACATTGGGGGAGGGGGAGGCGTTGACAAATGAGTGGGGCAGGAGTGTTCGCTAAGTTTTTCCGAGGCCTGTAGCTCGGGTCTCCAGCGGCCGCTCGGGACAATCTGGGCATCTCCGGAACGTTCTCGGAGAGGCGCATCTGCTGGAACGGGCCCCGAGGCAGGAGAGCCCACAGGAACAGACGAAAACGCACGAAGAGCCCGAACCCCAATGGACTCACCGCTGGATTCCCACTGACTCACCACCACACGGTGTGGTCACCGAGCGGTTTGGAGCCCACCCGGTCCTGCTCCAGCTCCAGGCGCGCGTCTTCCAACACCGCGTTCTGGCTGCGCAGCTGGAGGCACTCCTCCCCAGATCTTCCACTATTTTGTCAACCCCCCCCCAAAGCAGACCCAGACCTCCTCGTGTCGTTAACATGGATCGCGACAAGTTGTTATCGATGTTTTCTTTCTTTTGTTGAACCTCCTCTCTGAAACTAATTATTGTTGATCCCCCTCTGATAACCATTGCATTTTTCAACTAAAGTGCCTCTCCCGGGGCTCGCATCCATTTTTTACAAAGGAAAATGAAGTGCCACCAAACTGTGCCCCTGGTCCCTGGTTTCCAACAACAACGATGGTTCCCGCATGATAGTTCTTCACAAATATTACCAAATCGAGCTCTCGCGCGGGACGTCCTCATAATTTATGCAGGAGTCGCGCTCTCGCGTGGGACATCCTCGCAATCCATTCAAACGCCGCGCCCTCTACACCCAGGAATCACGCTCTCGGTGTAGATTCCCTCAGGATGTATTTCCGAATCGCGCTATCGCTGGAGATTTCCTCGGGATTCATGCAGGACGCACGCTTCAGCAACCCGCCTGCCCCTTGTCCTTTCATTCCGTCCGCCATCTCTTCCCCGACAACTGCATGAAAGACACGTTGCAGGTAAGCCCCAAAGGGGGGTACGATCGAAGACGAGGAGGGGGGTATCGAGGGTTTGGGACACGTGTGTGTGTGTGACGGCACGCGAACAGATCAGAACGAACAGTTGCACAATGATTGAATCTTAGAAACTGAAGAAATATTCTTGTTTGACCCCCCCTCCCCAAAAGCGCCGCGCCGCTCTCGCCCTGGCGCCAGCTGCATTTCCTTCGAAGACCAAACTAACGCCCTGGCGTTTCGGGTGTGCGCCGAAACCGGCCCCCAAACAACAACGACAGCAATCATTTTAAGACTGTTCGCTCTTATCTGCTCCCGTGTCACTCAATATGCATATCCCAAACCCTGGATACCCGCCCTCATCGTCTTCGATCGTACCCCCTTTTGGGGGGTAACTTCATATCCTGCCACGCGTGGTTGGTGAAGCCCTTGAATACGAAAGGTAACAGATAACGTGGGATAGTGAGGACGAAGGGATCGGAGGAAGGGAATGGAGGGGCAAGAAGGAGAGAGGACGATGATTTGCGCTGCGAGTGGCGATTCAGCTTGCGCCATGGTTTGCGCTAGCCACTCCAACACAGGTTAACAATACGTTTCGCCATGGGTCGCGCCATAAACAGCGCCACGTACCACCCCCTTGAAAGAACATATCGTGGATACCCCCACGGGGGGACGTACAGCTGCGAACTGGTGTCAGAAACAAAGTTCGTGGAACCCTGGAAAGAAGCGGGATGTTGGGAGAGTGGGGCGGAAGGATCGTGAAAACAGCAACCGTGTCGAGAGGAGCGCGGGGATGCGGAGTGGATTGGGATGGAGTGGACAAGAGTAGGGTCTCAGGCGGGAGCCGTTCTTGGCGCAGGCCACGACGGGCGCGAACGATGGGGGGCCCCGAAGGGCATACGTATAGGGGGCCGCAGAGGGCAGCGAAGGGGCCGCTGAGGGCAGAAACGGGGCCACGAAGGGCAGAGAGGGGGCCACGAAGAGCGAGAACGGGGCCACGAAGGGCATGCATATGGGGCCACGACAGGCGCGAACGAGCGGTGCCCACGAAGGGCATTCGTATATGGGGCCACAAAAGGCGACAGCGGGGCCACTGAGCGCAGCAAGTGGGCCACGAAGGGCAGCGAGGGTGCCGCGCGGGGCGACGAAACGCATGCGTATGGGACCACGAAGGGCGCGAGCGAGCGGGGGCCACGAAGGGCAATTAATCCGGGGCCACAGAAGGCAGCGACGGGGCCGCTGTGGGCAGAAACGGTGCCACGAAGGGCAGAGAGGGACCCACGAAGGGCGACAGCGGGGCCACGAAAGGCATGCATATGGGGCCACGACGGGCGACTGCGAGCGGGGGCCACGAAGGGCATATAATGCGGGGCCACACTGGGCAGCGACGGGGCCACTGAGGGCAGCACCGGGGCCACGAAGGGCAGCGAGCGAAGGCGACCGCGGAACCAGTACGGGCAGCGAGGGGCATCGAAGGCGGGCGAAGGGCAGCGAGCGGCGACTGCAGTCCTTAACGGGCTGGTCGGGCGGGCAGGCCCAGACGGGCGGGTCGAACGGGCGGGTCGTTGAAGCGTGAGTTCTGCTTGAACCGCCAGGCAATATGTAGCGGAAGCGCGATTCCGGAATGTCGAAGAGCGGCATCTGAATAAATTGTGAGGAAGTATCAGACGGGAGCCGCGATTCGGTGGTAAGTTGCGAGGAGGTCCAAGCGAGAGCGCGATTCTTCAATACATTGTGAGGAAGTATCAAGCGGGAGCCGCGATTAGGTGGTACATTGCAAGGAAGTCACAAGCGAGAGCGCGACTTTACAATAAATTGTGAGGAAGTATCAGGCGGGAACCGTTGAACATTATTTATTCTAAAGAATAATTATTGTTGGGCCCCCTGGTGCGCGCCCCCCCTGCGCCGCCTAGGCCGCAGCTACATTTTCATCATTTTCGTGAGGAAGCCTCAGGTAAAACGATGTGATCAGGATCCGGTTGTTTTGTTGTAATCCGCTTTCCCTTGCAAAAAACACTATAAAATGACATTTCTTGTTCTAATATAATCAAATTTCAAGAATCCCTTGCAAAAAATAAGGTAAAGTGGACATTCGCGCGCGCAAGACGAAATCCTTCCAAAACCTTAGTGTTCGCAGCGATTTTAACATAAAAACATCAAAAAACCAATGGTTTTTCAACAAAAAAATGTCAAAATCTCATCCCGCGCGCTCTTGCGGATTCGTAGGAAACCCAACACTTTTTAAACATTTCTGTCAAACGGGCTTTTGCGAGCAACTTTTTCGAACTTCTGCGACAACGGTTGCGCACCTGCCAGGGCCATCATCCCTGTCAAATAATACCATGCGGGACACATTCGTTTTTTCTTCGCGCGCGCACGCCGTCGTCGTCGGCCGCGGGGCCCTGAATAGTAGCCACGGTCGTCCGCATGCCACGAAGTGAAGTGTCCGAACGTCATAGGGCGGGAAGCTGGGTGTGGGTGGTGGCGAAGAGTCGTTTGGAAATTTGGTAGAGCTTGAACCGGCCCCCCCACAAAGTGGGGGTATTGCCCGCCTCCTATGAAAACCCTGGCACTGGTGAGAACGGAGTGTCCCCACGTGCTAGTAATTGTTGTTGTTGTTGTTGTTGTTGTAAACCGGGGGCCAACAACACAGTTTGACCTTCAAGACTTCTCTGATAAAAAAAACAAAATGCGAACCCCGGGATGGGCACTTCAATCTGAAAAAACCATGTGCGCCGGACGGGGGGGATCAACAATAATTATCTTCAGAAGTGAGAATTCAACAACAACAACAACAATCATGTTCAGACTGTTCGACCTTATCTGCTCGAGTGTCCAATAACGCCTATTTCCCAAACGCTCGATACCCGCCCTCTTCGTCTTCGATCGAACCCCTTTTGGGGGATATACCTTTCTTCCCTGCAGGCCGGGCCCCGGCAAGCGGCGGGGCGGCCGCGGACCGTCGGCCTGGCCAGCGGCAGTGCCGATCGGCGGGGCGGCCGCAGACCGGCGACCCGACCCCAAGAGGGACGGACAGGGGACCCACCACGACGACGACGACGACGACGACGTCGACGACGACGGCGACGACGACGACGATGGCGACGACGACGACGAGCGAAAGCGAGAGCGAAAGAGAACGACAGCAGGGCCACAAGGACACGAAGTAGGCCACGAAGGGCAACAGCGGGGACACGAAGGGAATGCGTATGGGGCCACGAAGAGCGCGAACGAGCGGGGGCCACGAAGGGCAGATAATGCGGGGCCACAGAGGGCAACGATGGGGCCACTGAGGGTGGCAACTGGGCCACGTAGGACAGATGCACATGGGGCCACCACGGGCGCGAACGAGCGGGGGCCACGAAGGGCATACGTATATGGGGCCACGAAGGGATGCAACGGGGCCACGAAGAGCAGCGAGGGGGCCACGAAGGGCTGCAACGGGGCCACGAAGGGCTGCGACGGGGCCACGAAGGGCAGCGAGGGGGCCACGAAGGGCTGCAACGGGGCCACGAAACAAAGCGAGGGGGCCTCGAAGGACAGCAACGGGGCCACGAAGGGCAGCGAGGGGGCCACGAAGGGCTGCAACGGGGCCACGAAACAAAGCGAGGGGGCTACGAAGGACAGCAACGGGGCCACGAAGGGCAGCGAGGAGGCCACGAGGGGCTGCAACGGGGCCACGAAGAGCAGCGAGGGGGCCACGAAGGGCTGCAACGGGGCCACGAAACAAAGCGAGGGGGCCACGAAGGGCTGCAACGGGGCCACGAAGGGCAGCGAGATCCCGATCCCTATGTAATCTGTGAGGGAATCCAAAGCGTGAGCGCGACTCCTGGGTGCCTGGGTGTCGGGAGCGCGGCGCTTGAATAAATCGGAGGAAATTCCAACGCAAGGCCGCTATTCTTTAGTAAATTGCAAGCAAGTCTCCAGCAAGAACGCGACTCCAGAGCGCTGGGATAATAAATTGTAAGGAAGTCCCAAGCGAGAGCGCGATTCCGGAATAAAACGTGAGGAAGTCTCGGACGGGAGCGGGGGTCCTGGCTAAATTGTGAGGAAGTATCAAGCGGGAGCCGTTGTTGTTGTCGTTGTTGTTGTTGTTGTTGTAAACTGGGGGCCAACAACACAGTTTGAACTTCAAGACTTTCCCTGATAAAAAACAGGGTGCGAGCCCCGGCCAGGGCACTTCAATCGGAAAAAACCATGTGCACCGACCGGACGGGGGGGATCAACAATAACTATTCTTCAGACATGAGAGAGAGTTCAACAACAACAACAACAACAACAACCAACAACCAACAACCAACAACCAACAACCAACAACCAACAACCAACAACCAACAACCAACAACCAACAACCAACAACCAACAACCAACAACCAACAACCACAACCACAACAACAACAACAACAACAACAAC